CCTCACCCAAGCCATCGTCCTCATCAGAGGCCTCCTTCGACCTTTCGGCCTCGGCAGCAATGGAGTCTCTACCCACGGCACAGTAGCAAATCCGACTGTAGGGCGTGAACCAGCAACACCTACAGTCCCCCACTCGATCGCCATAGTACCTCTAGGGGCAAGGGCCCGGTCAGCAACCGTCCGGCGCCTCACTTGCGCCGCAATAACACCATTCTTCAACCTTGCATTAGCGAACATTGATATCCAAGAGCGACAGTTTTTGTTGACGTTGGTAAGGGGGATATAACCGTGGGGATGAGGAAACTGCTACTGCATCCAGTTTGACATCCAGCACCGAGTCCGTCTCTTAGACCTCGAGTCCGGGCCCCTTGAGTCGAGCTCCAGTCACTTACTCCGCACTCCAGGCCCCGCTGCAGCGAAATGGAGTGAACACCCCGTCCAGGACCCTTAGGAGCGCGCCCGGGTCGTCGACCTGGGGACATCTCTAACCAACAAAATGAAGACCTCTAGTTTGACTCAAGTGAGCGAGCATAGGGATAGCGGAAGGGATATTGTCAGGGACATTGGCTGTTTCAATTCGCTTGTTGTCGAATATTCTTTTTTGACAGCATCAAATCCAACACAGCATCAAATCCAACACAGCATCAAATCCAACACAGCATCAAATCCAACACACAGTCCCGTCGTCTACACTCAAGATGTGCCTTTGGGAGAGTTTACTGTTATTTCCTATCTCACCTCTTCGTTTCGTCATCGCGTTCGAATCGTCTTGTATTGTTATGGTGAGAGAACAGGTTCAGCAAGTGCTGCTGCTGTTCGTTTCTAAAGACAACAGTTATCATGGATTACAACTCATGAAGACTTGCCAAAAAGACAACGAGATATTAACCAATTTATCAATAGTTGTCTCCAAGAACCATGGCTCCCGGAAAGAGAACCCACCGCTCGGTCAGCCCGAGCTCTTCACCCGCGCTTCCCAGCAAGCGCACCCGTCTCGGCTCCGGCAACCCCGTTGCCGACCAGGGGGAGGAGGCAGAGTCTGTCAGCGGTCAGGGTGAAGCTGGTCAAGTTCGGGAGGCACGCGAAGAGAGAGCAGAGGCACATGACAATGACAATGAAGAACCTGCTGGCTTGCCTGGCATCTGGACCAATGGCGGAGGTGGACCGGTCGTAGGCGGACAGTTCGAAGGAGCTGGTCCGTCTCCCGGCGCCTTTGGCCACCATCAGCCTCCCGCTCCTCTCGCTCGCCGCCCGGACTTGCCGCTTCCCCGGCCCAGTACGCTCCCTGCCCGCCCTCCGCCCCAGCTGCCCCATCCTCGCCCTTTCGTGGCACCAACTGGTGTCCACACGCCCGGCCAACTGCCCCCGCGTCCTCCCTCCTTGCCGGCCCGCCCATCCCCTGCTGGCCATGAACGTCGCCAGCACCATCAGCAGCAACACCAGCAGTACCAGCAGCAGCACCAGGAGCAGCAAGACCAATGGCAGCAAGGGCAATGGCAGCAACAGCAATGGCAACAACAGCAATGGCAGCAACAGCAACAGTTGCAGCAGCAACAACAATGGCACCAGCAGCAACAACAGCACTGGCAGCAACAGGAGTGGCAGCAGCACCACCACCAACCTTTTCTTCCCTCGGCGCCATATGGCAGCCAGGGCTTCTACAGTGCCGGCCCGCAGAGGGCTGCACTTCCCTCCCAACACCACGACTACGGCAGCCACCACCCAGCTCGCCAGCAGTACCCCGTGGCGCCTTCGGGCGACCACCACCATTACCACCACCACCACCACCACAACAACGACGACGATGACGACGAGGACGAGGACGAGGATCTGGCCCGCGCCATTGCCGCCAGCCTGGAAGACCTCCAAGCCGCGCCGCCACAAGCCCACGACCAGCAGCCGGCCTCTGGCTATACCTTCGCCGCCGGTGTCACTTCCCACTCCGCCCACGCCGTGGATGAAGACGGGTGGGAGCTGTATGACCCGGCGGCGTTGGTTGACGTTGACCTCGACAACCACGACGAGCAAGAGCAGCAAGAGCAGCAACAGGACGAGCCGGCCGGTTATCTCGCGGCATACCAAGGCTGGCCTCAGCGCCAGCACCAACCTGCGCCTGCCCCTGTTTTCCCCGCTCCTGTGTCCGCCCGTGCCCCTGCCGCTGCCCCTGGCCCTCCGTCTCTCGCTCCCACCCACACCCGCCCACCACAACCAGACCCTCGTCTTTCCCTGTGGCGGCAGGAAAACCGTCGGTTTGCGGGAACCGTTCTCATCGAGGACAGAGAACCCGCCATTAACCGCGCCAAGGCCGCCGTCCATCAGTCGCTTTTGACTGAGGATGGCGCGCTGCGGCTTACATTTTTCGTGGACGGGTCGAAGATCGGAGGGAACCAAACCTTGGGAGGCTACGGCGTCGTGTTTCGAAAAGGCGCTGCCAGCGAGCTGTTAGCTTCGCCGGCGGTGGTGAGCTCCGACCGCAGGCTCTACCAACAACAGGACGAGAAATTCCCTGCTAGCGAGTCGGGAGGTCTGCGGGCCAAAGATTTTACCATTTGCAGCTGGGCGAGCAAGGAGGTGTCAGCGCTAGAAACAAGTCAAGTAAGAGGTCATACTTACTTATACTTATTTAAGTGGGTCAAGTAAGAATTCGTACTTACTTGTACTTACTTATACTTACTTACTTGACAATACTTGAAACTTCCTTATCGGTCCTCTTATCGGCTGTTATCAATCGTTATCAACCGTTATCTTTCCGTTTTCGTAACTTAGATCGATATTTTGGTACCAAAAGTTATGCCAAGAGGCTGGTCAAGTATCCTCAAGTAAGTATCAAGCCTTACTTACTTGCCAAGTATAAGTATGAACCTTTACTTACTTACTTACTTACTTATACTTACTTATACTTGACTAGAATACTTGACTTGTTTCTGGCGCTGGGAGGTGTACGACGCCAATCTTGCGGAGAAGGCTGCTATTGCTCAAGCGCTGCATCTGGCGATCCAAATTGCGGACAAGGGCGTTGTGGGAAGCATCGAGGTCTTCTCAGATTCCCAAAGCTGTTTGGGTCAGATACAGCGTCGAAGCTACCAGCATGGCCAGAAGCAGGGCTTGGACCCTCTTATCAGGGCCATCATCTGGATGAGCCACTACCTGAAAGACAAGGGCTGCAACGTCAGGCTCTTCTGGAACAAGCGTTGCTGCGCGTTGGGACCAGGGTTGGCGGATGCTGCGGCGGGGGCGTGGCAGGAGGAGGACAGGGTGCTGGTGGACTTTGGTCAGGAAAGGGTGCCCCTTTAGGAAAGGGACGGCATTCTGGATCTGCTGCGTGAGGACATTCGTGCTGCTAGAGAAGGGGGTCAACGTTGATTCACGTGTGGACCGTTGAGTTTGTTTTCGTTTTGCATGGTGTTTGGAGTTGTGAGTTTGGAAGAGATATGGGGGGAGAGTCTCTACTGGGAAAAAGGTGTATCGAGTACTGTTGTCTTTGTCGTCGGAAGAACCAAGGCTTTTGGAATTTGGATGAAACCCATCCTTGATTCACTTCGAGTTCGATTTGTTGATTTAATGGATATCCAAGCTTTGTGTTTGGGGTTTATAGGTGTTGGTGTTGAGAGAAGGCGATTCCGAGCGGCGTTCTGGGTGATACCTTGCGGACGTGGAAGTAGAAATCTCCCTTGCTGACAGGTTCGAATCCTGTGCTAGCTGGGCGCTTCTGTTTTGATTCCTGCTTAATGTAACAACTTCCAACAATTTCAAGGCTCCGAAATGTTCGTGAAAGCCGCCATTTGCCAGAGTCTTGATTTCGGTTCGCGTGATATGTCTGTTGAGGTCATTCGCGCTCTTGCCAGTGACAGAAGGCATTTGCTGGTGACTGCGATCTGTTAGCGGCTTAGCGCTATGTACACGAGTTCTAGGGGCTGGCGCTAACATCAAACCGACCACCCTATTCTGCCAACGACCAGGTTGCCTGATCATGGTTTGACGAGGGCAAGACGGGAATGGGTTTTGGTAAACTTACCAAAAATGTCCTCTGACTTGCTTGACGTTGACGACGACCATGTGTACGGCATTGGTAGGCTGGTATTGAGACAAGGGCCAGAGGAACGGCGCGTTCGTTGTCGCGGAGTAGCCCTTGATTGCGCACGCAAAATGGATTTGTATGCTTTTGTCGCGATCATGGTCTTTGCCTCGGAGCTCCGATCTTATTAATATCTGTTCCTATCGCGAATTCGGTCGCCGTTGGTGTCGCTGTCGAGAAGAACAATCCCAGATCAACAGTCAAGACGACTTTCATGAGCCGGAGATGATGATAAATCCGCTGTCTGAAATGTTTTCCTTGATCGAGGTTCCGGAATATGCTCGGCCTTTTGTAGTTCGCTTTGGTTCACTTTTGTGTTGTCTGGAAGAAGTTGTCAAGTCGGAAGAGTTTGTCGGTCGAGACATCGGATGACAGAAAGTGTGAAGTTGAAAGTGGATCCCACCATCCGACGAAAACCCACAGACAAGGAATGACCAGCCAATCATTCGTCATCCCACGTCCGCATAAGGCAAGTACCAGGTACTCTTTCTCATCGCACTTCTACCCCTCCTTGCCCCGCACCTCCCAAGTTCCCATTGACATCAAGAGAACTGGGAAATTTCTTTTCACCTGCCCCCTTTCCTTCCATTAATGGGCATGAATGCCTCAGAACCACTAAATGCTTCCAGGATTCAATGAAATTTTTCCGCTTCAGCAAACACGTATTAAGCAAGCCTAGTAAAATCTCAAGGCCGGATGTCCTCCTAGCAAGCACTTACTCGTAGAAAGCCACCCCCAGGGAACCTCCACCTAGTTTATGCTTTGTTGTGGGCAGGCAGGCTTTCTTCCGGAGTCAATCCTCGCAACCAGATTTCTAAATTCTGCAGAAAAAGAAAAAAAGAAAAGAGGAAAAGCAAAGGAAAAGAGGAAAAGCAAAGAAAAAGAGTAACAGGTGACATAAGCGTCAAAAAAAAGAGAGTGTGTGTGGCACCGTACCGGATTTGAACCGGTAGCTTCTTCCACTCTTTCTGCATGCGTAACCATAGTGTTAAGAAGTGTTAACCATTACACCAACGGACCACACGTTAAGAAACACAGGAACCAGACCTTATAAACCCCCTTTGGTATTTTACATCCGCATATGCCCCTTTTCGGCCCCGTTTTGGACCTTCTCTCCCTCATTGTGCCTAGGAGCTTCGATGTCAAATCTTCGGTCTTTTCAAACCCCGGCCTCTGTCGTCAACCTCACGCCCCGCCTTTGAACCCTCTACTCAATTAGTATTACGCTTTTAATCCTCTTTACATCCCCCAACCATGATAACAACAACTCCTATACTCCCAAAGACGAGTTCTAGCTGGGACCTGAACAAACCCCCCCTCCTCCACCACCACCGCTATCGCCGCCCATCGTCGGCCCGGTATTTGTGCCAACATCAATCCCTGGCCCGGTATTTACATCGCCTCCCGTATAGCTAGGTCCATCATCGCCGCCGCCGCCATGACCACCCCCACCGCCATGCCCGCTTCCACAAAGTCTCGAGAAAAACCCACGCTTCTGGTTTTCCGGGCCCGCTTGTTGGTTTTGCATCCTCTTCCGTGAAGGCATTCTGCCGAAGAGGTACCCTAAGGCGAGGATACAGACCACGATCAGGACAACGACAATGATGTCGCCGGCGGTCCATTCACCTGACAGCTGGACCATGGTGTTTCTTTGGCCCCCTTTGTTGTAGGGCTCGGCTGTTGATATTCTAGAGGCATTCAACTACTCAAAAATCTGTCAGAATGTGTATGTCGCGAGACGGTGTATGGACCTACCAAACAGCGAACGAGGTGATCCAGTTGGGACTGCATCTTGGGAAAAGATTGTAAAGGTACCAACTGAGGACGTTGGAGTATTTATACCTGTTCGCTCCTAGCAATCCTGGGGGAGGTAGATCCTCCACGCCTCATGATGGTTTACCCAGAAGAGTAAAGAAAGTGTCACAAGTCTTGCTCTCGTACGAGTTGCCTGGTGTTTGTGTCGTACTCGGCAGGCAGTACTTGGAAGGACAAACTCAGAACCGGGTCTTCGCCATACGTACACCGTGTTTCAAATGACTCGGAATAAAACAGTTGAAATCAAGTTTCCTCTTCTGGGGCTTGCCTGTCACAATATCTGGCGGCCATCCATACCTCTATAAAGAGAGATGGTATAGGAAATTGAGTTGAGACTTGGGAAGCTGGAAAACTCGTGGTCCGGGCGCTGGTGCAGGCCACCCGACCAACATATGACCCGTGTATGGATGCAAGGGATAACCCACTGTTAACAGAAATCAACCAGGCCCTGTGGGTGTATCAACACAGAGGGTGCCGGTTCTGTTAGTGGCACGATACTCATATCTTTTCTTGCCCATTGCTGCACCCCGGCTCCATTTCCTACAATTTCCGCAACACATCGTCGGGTGGGCCGCATTTCGAAAACTTCACCCTTTCCAACGACCAACCCCAACACTTCGTTGTCCATCTTGCCCTTTCTCTTTCGCCGTAACATTCGCGCCAGTACTTTAGAGTACTTGCAACAATGGACCTCACAGCAACGCATCAGCAACTCGTTGGTCGATTCAGCGGCTAGGCGAAGACAATGGAGACAGAAACCAACAGCGTCTTGGTCGAAGAACCAGCGTAAAAAGAGGAATAACTTTAAACACAGCCTTCAACAGGCTCTTCTCAAATACTGCATCTTCTCAAGGGCTCCCTCGAAGCCCCTATCAAGTGCCCAGGATTTTCCACCATAATCCCCAACTCTAGTCAAACACAAAGAGATCCAACGCCGACAAAACTAATCTGCACAACAAAATGCAAGCAAACGTCTTCATGCTCGTCGTCCTATGGACAGTTCTTACCACCGCCACTACTGCGGTGGTTGTTCCAAACCCCCAAAAGCCGCGAGCGTTTCCCATCGACACCTCCTCCAACTCCACTCATCTAGCCGGCAACACAGAAACTACCATCTACTACCCCGGTTTTGTCGAAAACAACCTACGACGAGTGCGCTCAGCGCCGACTCCCGCCGCAGCAATCGTACCCAAAGAAGACATCGAGGCTGCTGCAACCGCTCCGGTAGAGAGAAACGGACATGGGTTCGCAGGGCAGAATACGGACATGGGGCTCATGAAGAGAGAGAAAAACAACACCAAGACTGACGAGCAGACATGTTCCTGTCCATGTCAATGCCCACCCTTGGAAGCTCCGAAAAAGGAGAAAAAGAAGTTTTCTAAAGGTGAAATCGCTGGGATTGTGTTGGGGGCGATTGGGGGATTCGCGCTCTTGGTTGTATTGATCTGGGGTGCCCTTACTTGGTTCATGATGTGGTTGCTGGGCCGATGAAGGCTGGGGTTAACAAATGGTTGACAACGGAAGGTTTAGGTGTGATGGAAGAGTGACAAGCCGTGGGCAATATGGGGAGGCTTTGAAAGGTGTGAAGCTGGTAGCTGGTAGCTGGAACTGTGAACCCAAAAAAGAAAAACGCCGTGTAAGCGTTATTATGGTATCGGTGATACTGTCCTGGTGTATGTTGAGGCAGAGATTCACGTTCTAGACGAGTTGGTGGAAAGCCCTTCACCAAAACATCAGCGCCGCGTCTTGAAGGACTGGCGTCTTTGGGTTCACTGGATGCTGGCAAACAAGTTGCCTAGATAGATGCATCACGAACGCCTACTGCCTTGAGCATTGCAGACCAATCTTGCGCCTGACAAGCCAGCCCACACTTAACGGACGGTGATGCAACGGCACAAAAGACCGTTTTTCCAGAAATACAAATACCGCCCCCTCCTTGACCTCGAACGCCAGAAACCAGTCAACAACCAACAATGAGCAAAGCCACAAAAGATCCCCATATAATCTTCATCATCACCACCCGCGGCAAAACCTTCAATCTCCCCAAACTCAACGCACAAAAACCCCCAATCGCGATGCACTCCCCACTTCTCTTTCGCCTCTTCGTGGTCTTGCTCCTCGGAGTCACAACCGCCTACGTCCTACCCGAGCCAAACCCCCTTCCACGAGACATCACGAAGGCGACCAAGCTCGACTCGGACATCATCAAAGCGCGCCCCGCTAGCGTTCCAGTCTATCAGTGCAGTCCTGACATCTCCTCCCAGCTGGCCAGAAAGCAGAAACGGGAAGAGCAAGACTCTCAAGAGTCGCCTTTCCATGTCGTTCCCATGGCGGAGGGACCCAAGGTTACTGCCCGCGACAGCACGGAGGAGGGACATCCCAGGCTTTACAAGAGGGACGGAGGCATGACCGCCATCTATGCCATTGTCCCTGTTCTTGTTGTTGGTTTTTTGATCGGTGGCGTTATTATCTGGCGCAAGGCTCATGGGCTTTGAGGAATATCCCGGCTCCGCAGGTCTAAAAGGAAGGAGGAAGACGGGCGGAGGGCTAACGGGGTGGAGGAATTGAGGGGGGCTTGGAGGCCCAGGGACATCGAGAGTGCCCCGGAAACGAAATAGGGAATTAATGACACCATAGAAGAAACAAGTTTCCAATTTGCAGGCTTCTGGATATTCATGAAATTATGAACTGCCAATCTTGTTGGTTGAAGCAAGATGCGCCGTGATGGAGGGACCTCAACGGCTGCTGGGTGGGAAGTGGAAAAGAAAATGTTGTGATAAGGACTCTGATAAGGGGTATTGACCAATTAAATTCTGGCTGGTGTCCCAATGCGGAAGTACCCCGCCATTGGCGCCCACGACGCTTGGGCTGCCCCTGCCTTGTGTTGCGCAACTTGTGTCAGAACTAAAGGACGATTGTAACCACTGCTCCTTATAAGGAGCGCTCATATTTTGCTGGTATGGGGTAGTGGCCAATCTGACAACTTGCGCGCCTGTTAACCCCGCGCGGTTGACCGTCGACTCAAAACTTTCCTCCTCCTCGCGTCTGTCCTTTTCTTTTCTGCATAGATTCTTCTCGACGACAACGCCATAGGGACCAACGCCCGCACCCTTCCGCTCGATACGAAAATGAATCGAGACTTCGAGTTGCCAAATACAACCCTCGAGAGCTCCAATGCGTGTGTTCCAGGCCGCCTGTGGCTGTCCACTGTACAGTGGATTTGTGCGCCGGCCGTGCAAAACGAAGATGGCGGAATAGGACAAAGATGCCGCAACAAGGACGAGCAACCCCAACTCCATCTGTCAAAGGGAACCTGGCGCTTAGTTGAACAATCAATTGTTTGATCGAGTCGCCCAACCGTCCCTTCCAGACAACACGTTGTACCATTCGATCGCGGACGGGCAGCAAGCCAGTTGCCAACGTCACGGGTCCTGGAGTCCATGACCAACAATAGGACCGGCATGTCAGCGAAGGCGTCCCGTCACACTTCTTGATATCAATGGAACGGCACGCTCAGCCTCAGGCCGCCGGGTGAAATGAATGAAATGATGGACTACAAATATTCTGATTGTCCCTTGGATCACCACATCAAGCGCTGGTACAAACCCCGCTCGACATTACTAGCAAAGCTCTCAAGCACTCGACCTTGACCAAGGCCAAAATGAGACCTCAACTCATCCTTCACTTTATTATCAGCGCCCTCGTGGGCGTTGCTACCGCCGTCAGTCTCCCTAACTTGAGGGATCTCGCGCACCAGCGGATAGAGTCCCGCGAAACTACACAAGGTACGTTGTGCACCCACCTTTTCAGTCTTGATCATCTTCTCTTACTAACCGATACCCTCTCTGGATAACAGTCGTCACTTCCCACCTAGCTCCAAGATCCACCGAGACGTCACTCCCCTGCACCGACCTGCCCCAAGGCCAATGCCCCGAAGATTATACAACCTGGCAGAGAGCCGGTAGTCCTACGGCCGTCAAACTCCCCGACGAACGAGTATCCGAGGCGGTTGGCAAGAGGGAGAAAACGGAAGACGCATCGCTGGAGGCAGCAAATGCATATTGGAAGGACAGGCATGAGAAGCAACAGAGGGCGAAGAAGCGAATATGGATCGTTTTAGGATGTGTTCTCGGTGTTATCGGTCTAGTGGGCATCTGTATACTATTGTTTTTCTGGTGCTACAAACCGAAGCCGAATGCGAGTTC